ATTACTGTTTTTCTTATACATTTTATTGTTGGATGTAACTGGGACCCTGCGTACATAATTTCGCTCCACCACATGTACCACATGAGGTGCGAATGACAATAAAGAAACTCTGACTCTCTGACTCTGACTCTGACTCTGAAACATCATTTAGATGAGGAGTGTTGAACACAAGTAAAAAAGTCCAGTGGTGATGACTTTTATTTTTCTATAAAGACCATTAGTGCTGACATGATGCTCTGTATTAAAGTTAAAATGTCTTTAAACCCACAGCTGAATTTATACAAACTTGGTGAGAAACATGCTTTGAATGTGTGGAATTAAAGGAAATCTAGGTGAAATGCTGCTTTTTTGTTCACTAGTGAACACCTTTTTTTACGTGCGCGCACGCACACACACCTACACACATTATTGTGTTCCCCCCACCTTACGGATGCTTCTGACGCCCTTGGGATGGACAATGCTTATTGTGTTTTACTATTATGTCAGAACCAGATCAAGAGTCTGGTGAAGAGGTTTGTGAACATTTTGGGTGAAACCAATGGACTCTACCAAATTATTAAAGGCTTTGATTAAGCTTTCAGTTTTAACGCCTGCATGAATATTGAATCCTTGAATCGCCACCTTATCGTGGTGGAGGAGTTTGTGTGCCTGAATGATCCTAGGAGCTATGCTGTCTGAGACGATTTTAACTGACCCTGATAAGGTCTCCCAAGGCAGATTGGTTCCAAGTGGCAGGCCAGACAAAGAGCAATTCCAAAGACTTGTATCAAAATGAAACAGCAAGGAACCCTGTGTCCTTTGCCCAGACGTGGGTTACCGGGGCATGACTCCTAGCAGAGGAACCCGTTAGAAAGAGCTTCAAGTAACACTTCCGGGAGAGCTTTAACCGCACCCCAGCTGAGGAGGGGAATATTGAGTCAGAGTGGGCCATGTTCCATGACTCAATTGTTTAAGTGACTGCCTTGAGCTGTGGCCACAAGGTTGTCGGTGCTTCTGGTATTGGCCATCCTCAAACTCGGTGGTGGACACCTGGGTTGGGGAGGCTGTCAAGCTGAAGAAGGAGTCCTATCAGTCCTTGTTGGCTGGTGGGACTCCGGAGGCAGCTGAGGAGGCCAAGCGGTCCACAGCCTTGGATGTTGCTGAGGCAAAAGCTCAGATGTGGGAGGAGTTCAGTGAAGACCACTGGACCAGCTCTTTATCCTCACTAGGGTCCTCGAGGGGTAATGGGAGTTTGCCCATCCAGTCTACATGTGTTTTGTGGACTTGGAGAAGGCAGTCAACCATGTTCCTCGGGGTACAATGTGGGGGGTGCTCCATGAGTATGGGATTGGGGACCCGTTGTTACAGGCTGTTCGGTCCCTATACAAGTGGTGCAAGAATTTGGTTCACATTGCCAGCATTAAGTCGGACCCCTTCAGGTTGGGAGTTGGACACCGCCAGGGATACCCGTTGTCACCGATTTTGTTTATAACTTTTATAGACAGAATTTCTTGGTGCAGCCAGCTGGCGGAGGGATTCCGGTTCGGTGGTCTCAGGATTCCATCTCTGCTCTTTGCAGATGATGTGGTCCTGTTGGCATCATCATGCCATGATCTTCAGCTTTCACTGGAGCGGTTCGCAGTGAAGTGTGAAGCAGCTGAGATAAGAATTAACACCTTCAAATCTGAAGCCATGGTTCTGAACCAGAAATGGGTGGATTGCTCTCTTCAGGTTGAGGGTGAGGTTCTGCCTCAAGTGGAGGAGTTCAAGTATCTTGGGGTTTTGTTCACGAGTGAGGGAAGAATGGAACTTGAGAT